AACCATCAGGCCCTGGAGCTTTATCATCATCAATAGCAAATAGAACATTCTTGATGTCCAAATCAGTGAATGGAGCAAGAAGAGAAGCGTGAGTGTTAGCATCCAGGCAAGGGCCATGCTGAATGACAGAGCTATCAAGAGGAAGGGTGTCTTTAGATGTGCCAAGTAAGTGGCTAAAATAATCAACAAACACCGTCCCCACTTCATCAATAGAAGTAGTAATAGTGCCATCACTACGATGAATTGCCGGAATATAATTCTGCCAATGCTTCCTGCTCATTAGTGCATGAAAAAAAGAAGAGCCTTGGTCACACTCTTTGAGAAAAGTAAATTTGAGCTTTTGAGAGAAAAATTGACGTTCAGCTGCTTTGAGATGAAGAAACTGTTGCCGAAGGAGCTTATCCTCTGCGAGGAGTTGAGGATTATCTCTGTCATTCGAGAAGATAGTTTGATGGTGGTCTAAGGCTGCCTCTGCACGAGCAACCCTAGCAGAGATATGACTGTAGTGCAATCTATTGAGTTCTCTTAAAGGCCCTTTAAGAGCTTTGAGCCGCTTACAAAAGGTGAACATAGGCGACCCATAAAACTCATGATGCCAGTTAGCTGCAACCAAGTCTGAGAAGCTGACATGGTGAGTCCACATATTAAAGAATTTGAAGCTCTTCTTACCAATAAAAGACCTAGACTGGAGAGTGATAGTAACAGGAGAGTGATCAGAGAAAGCACCAGGATTGTCAAAATGGACGTGAGCAGAGGCATGAGCTGGAGACCAAAGTGAATTAACAAGAGCACGATCAAGTTTGGTCCAGACCTTGCCGTTGGACCAAGTGTAGTGGCATCCAGAATAATTTAAATCTATTAGCCCCAGATCGGAGCAACACTGCCTGAAGTCCGCAGTCTCGTAAGTGGACACTGCTTCCCCATTATGCTTGTCATCTTGAGATAAAACAGAATTGAAGTCGCCTAAAATAATCCAAGGGGAATTGGGACTCCAGTTTCTCAAGTCACTCCAAAGAGTTCTCCTAGCAAGTAGAGTATTAAAACCATAAACAAAGGTGGCATAAATGCTGAACTGATGAACCCGACTAGAGATAAGAACATGAAGACCTTGAGCTGAAACGTCAAGTAATTCAACATGAACAGTAGCAGGGTTCCAGAAAACTACAATGCGAGCTGATGAGGCTACTTCTGCATTGGAATGAACTTTCCATTTCTTCAACCGAAATTGCTGCATCGAAGATACTTTAGACAAAGCTAATTTAGTTTCCAAAAGACCACAAATATCTAAGTTATGTTTCCTCATGAGGTTGGCTACCTCATGCTGTTTCAGAGGGTTATTTAACCCCCTGATATTCCAACAACGAATAATCATCAAGAGTGGGGGATGGGAGGCAACCCCTTACCCCTGCCAGAAACACCATTGGTGAGCTGCTGAGCTCGTTTGCTTATGGGCATCCTAATTGAACAAGATGTGCACTGACCTGGTGCGCTTATAGCAACCACAGATTTGCCATGAGTAGTCCCAGAATCCACTTCAGGAGGGGGTGTTGATATGGTGTGAATGACAGGTGATGAGGGATGAAGTTGGCTTTCCTCCTGAACCGTATGAGTGGCTTTGTGAGATAGGTGAGAGTCCACCTGACGCGATTTCAAAGAAACCCTTGAGGGGGAGTGCTTGCGTCTCCCTTTTTTCCGTTGAACAACTTCCCATCCATCAGGATTAGATGTAGCATCTTGTCTCATGGTGTCCAACTCAGTCTCAATCGGAGTTGAATGGGGAATAGAAGCATTCGGCAAGTTTACCTCTGGCTTGTCATTCACAGAAGGACCTTGTTGAGGTTCTAGACAATTGCAAACAGAATTCCGGCCTGTGGGAGCAGGGGCAACAAAGACAGATGTCTTTGGATTTGTTGTAATATTAGAAGGCGGGATGTTGGTGCAAGTGGAAGTTAAATGCCCAAGTTTTCTACAATGCTTGCAGAAACGAGGGAGAGTTTCATACACAACTTGTTGATGAAGTATGTGGCCATTCGGCAAAGTAACTTCAATGGAGGAAGGCAGATCAGATAGTAAGTTTACTTCAACCAATACTCTGGCATAGGAAAGTCTGGCCATAGAAGCAGTAAACATATCACTTTGGACAGGTCTGCCAAGAACACTGGCAATTTTTGATAAGCATTTGAGTGACCAACATTTAAGAGGGAGATTAGGGAATTTAACCCATACCGGAACAGTGTGCATCTCTGTAGATGAGAATTCAAAATACTCTGTCATTGGCTTAAGGATGAGAGGCCTACCATAAACTAAATAAGGACCCCCATCTAAAACATGCGATTTGTCAGCATCATTGTCAAAAGTAAAAATCAACCAACCAGAATCGTGGATAGTTATGGATGCCTCACATTGCCATGTGTTGACAATGAGATTCTGCAAAGCTTTAAAACCTGGTGAACGGCCAGCAATATAACCAACAAGGCAACGCTTCCAAAGATCACATTTA